CTTCCCAGGGAGCCAGCGGGACCCGAGAAGTACTTTTTTGGGGACTGTGGGGGCAGGGGTGGAAAATTACCTGGAGAAAATGGTGGCGACCCGTCTTCTCTCAAGCACGTAGATTATTCCAGATGCCCAGGTCTGGCTGTGCCCCAGGATTAGAATAGCCCGTTCCTGACATTGATTTCGAATAAATTTCATGTCCCTGCCTGTATTAAGTGGTTTTTAACCCTTTGGGGACCTCAGACTCCTTTGAGGCTGACAAAAGCGAGGGGCCTCCTCCTCCGGAACATTCGCCCTCGCGACCACGTAATTTTGCACGTTAACTCGTGCCAGGATTTAGGGGGAGTGCCTTCTGTATGCCAGGCACCGTGCTAGGCGCTGAGGGAACCAGAGAGGAACTTGTCCAAGTTTCTGCTCCCCTGGAGTTCGTTGCATTTTCTGACCCTCCTTCTACCCCACCCCACCCCCCACCCATCCCCGGATGGGACTGAACATATTTAGGGTTAGATGAATAACCTCCCCAAGGTACTATATTTTGGAGTTCTGTCTGAATAGTAATGCTCCTCGAATTACATAAAACGCCCACCCTTTTATGTTGTTTTAATCGCCATGGTTTGCAGGTTTTTTTAATTAGTCACATTCAAACATCATCTCTGAATCTAGTGACAAAGGCGTCAACCTCTCTGCCCAAGAAGGAAGGCAACACCCGCCCAGGCCTTCCCTCCTTCCCTTTTAGGGCTAAAGGTGCAGGAGACACTCCCTCCCCAGCTTGGCCAGCTCCCCTGCTCAGCTTCAGGCCAGCTCTAGGGAAGGCTGCTCAGTGACATTTTATCTCATGAAGAAGTCAATGCCACCCCTTTTACACAAGCTAATATGTAATTTTACATTTAGATTTTAATTTTTTAAAAATATTTTTTAGTATTTGGCGGACACAACATCTTTGTCTGTATGTGGTGCTGACGATTGAACCCGGGCGCATGCATGCCAGGTGAGCGCGCTACCGCTTGAGCCACATCCCCAGCCCCCCTCCAGCCTTCTTGATGAGGTCAACATCTGCTTTCCTCAACAGAGGAGCACATCCTTGCCCCGCACCCTTAGCAGCAGTGATGGCAAAGGCTGTTTTCTGATGCCTATGGATATTTCTGTTGAGTACTTGCAAGATGTGCTGGAACTTCTAAGGAATCACTAGAGAAAAGACAACAGCAAAGGGGTGGGTGTAGGCCTCCTGGGGAAGATACTTTGTGTCTTGTTCTCATGTTTCATCCACATTGTAGCATGTGTCAGTACTCTGGCTGCTTTTTATGACTAAGTAATATTCCTTTGTATAGACATAGCCTTTTGTTTCTTCATAAATCTATGGACATTTGAGTCACTGCTACTGCTGTGAACATCTGTATACAAGTTTCTGTGTAAACATGTTTTCAATTCTTCTGGAGATAGAGTCATAGAAATGGAATCAATTAATATAGTCACTCGGGTGGTGGGTGTGGGTGTGGGTGTATGTTACAGAGGATTAAACTGGGGGACACTCTATTATTGGCCTAAGTCCCCTGCCCTTTTTGTGGGGGGAAGGGGTACTGGGTACTGGGGACTAAACTCAGGGGTACTCAACCACTGAGCCATGTCCTCAGCTGTTTTTTGTTTGTTTGTTTGTTGTATTTTATTTAGAGACAGGGTCTCACTGAGTTGCTTAGAGCCTCTCTGTTGCTGAGGCTGCCTCTGCCTCTCAAGTCACTGGGATTACAGGCATGAACCACTGTGCCCAGCTCCTGCCCTTTTAATTTTTTGAGACAAGCTCTCACTAAGTCACTGAGTGACTGGCCTCCAACTTGTGATCCTCCTGTCTCATTCTCCCCAGTCGCTGGGCTTACAGGTGGCATCTATACCCCACACCTGGCATCTTTAACCTTTGGAGAACTATCAAGCTCCTTTCCTTAGTGGATGTACCCTTTCACATTCTCACCAGCAGTGTAGGATTCCAATTTCTCCACATCAACACCAGTGCTTCCGAATTTCCTAATAGCTTTTTCTTTTTTCTTTTTAAGTACCCTAGTGGGTGAGAGCTGTTATCTCCTTGTGGCTTTGATTTCTATTTTCCTCTTGAATAGTGACCCAGGCATCTTTTCAGGTGCCTACTGATCATTTGCATGTCTTCCTTGGGGGAGGGAACTTCTATTTTGATTCCTTGCCCACTTTTTTTTTTTTTTTGGTACTGGAGATTGAACTCAGGGGCACTCAACCACTGAGCCACCTCCTCAGCCCTATTTTAATTTTATTTAGAGACAGGGTCTCACTGAGTTGCTTAGCCCCTTGCCATTGCTGAGGCTGGCTTTGAACTTGTGATTCTCCTGTCTCAGCCTCCGGAGGGCTGGGATTACAGGCCTGTCCCACTGCAGCTGGCAGTTGCCCACTTTTGATTGGGATATGTGTCTTACTATGCTGAATTGTAAGAATTCTATACATTGTGGATACCAGACTCTTTAGGGGGAGGTACCAGGGATTGAATTCAGGGGCACTTGACCACTGAGCTACATCCCCAGCCCTTTTTAGTATTTTATTTAGAGACAGGGTCTCACTGAGTTGCTTTGTACCTTGCTGTTACAGAGGCTGGCTTTGAACTTGCAATCCTCCTGCCTGAGCCTCCCAAGCCACAGAGATCACAGGTGTGTACCACCACGATGAATGATACTATACTCATTTTGTTTGTTTGTTTAGTTGTATACATGGACACAATATCTTTATTTTGTTTATTTATTTGTATGTGGTCCTAAGGACTGAACCCAGTGCCTCACATGTTCGAGACAAGCGCTCTGCCACTGAGCCACAGCCCCAATCCCCCCATGCTATACTCTCAATGGTTATGGGATATTTTTCCCATTCTATGGGTCACAATTTTTTTTGGGGGGGTGTGTACTGGGTATTGAACCCAGAGGTGCTTTACCACTGAGCTGCATCACTAATCCTTTTTATTTTTTGAAACGGTTATCATCTTGCTTAGGGCATCACTAAGTTTCTGAGGCTGGCCTCAAACTTTTGATCCTCCTGCCACTGCCTTCTGAGTTGCTGGGATTACAGGTATGTGCCATCGCACCCAGCTTTCATTCCTTGCATTTATTTCCACATGAGTTTCAGGACCAGGTTATCCACATAAGAAAAATTTGAGCTTATACTAAATCAGCCTCAATTTAGGGAGTATGGTTATCTTCATATTTTTTTTCAGGGGGAGGTGTTAGGGATCAAATCCAGGACCTTAAGCATGCTAGGCAAGTGCTCTACCACTGGGCTACACCTTAGCCACTTAATCACAGTACCAGGTCTTTCAAACCATAAACACAGAATGTCTTTCCATTGATTTCTCTTAATTTTTTAAAATTTTGATGATGTTCTGTAGCTCACAGTATGCAAGACTTTTACTTGTTTGGTTAAATTTATTCCTAAAGCAGGCTGGCTGGAAAGCCCACCTTAGCTCCCAAGTGGCTGAGTCTGCAGGCACACACCACCATGCCTGGCTTAGTATTTCGTTGTTTTTGATGCTATTATAAATGCAACCATTCTCTTAATTTCATTTTGGACTATTAAATGCTGTGTGTAGAAGTACAACTGATTTTTTTTTTTTAATGATGATCTTGTATCCCACAAGAGATGTGAACTGAACTCACTTGCTAGCTCTAACAGTATATGCGTGAATCTTCAGGGGTTTCTTTTTCTAATTCTGGGGATTGAACCCAGGGGTTTTCTACTATGGAACTACTTCCCCCAGTCCTTTTTATTTTGAAACAAGGTCTTGCTAAGTTCCTGAGGCTGGCCTCAAACTTGCCATCCTCCTGCCTCAATCTCCCAAGTCGTTGGGATTACAGGGGTGCAACACTGTCCCTGGCTCACCAGGTTCTCTGTGTGTAAGGTCGAGTTATCTGCAAATGGAGACAGTTTTACTTCTTCGATTCCAGTTGGATGCCTTCTATTTCTCCTTCTCCCCCAACTGTCCTCACCAGAACCTCCAGTACAATGTTTACAGAAGTGGCTGCAATAGCAGACATCCTTGTCTTATTCTTTTTTTTTTTAATATTTATTTTTTAGTTCTTGGCGGACACAACATCTTTGTTGGTATGTGGTGCTGAGGATCGAACCCGGGCCGCACACATGCCAGGCGAGCGTGCTGCCGCTTGAGCCACATCCCCAGCCCCCTTGTCTTATTCTTGATCAGAGGGTAACGATGGTTTTTGTCATTAAGTGCAATGTTATATGTGGGCTCTTCGTAGATGTCCTTTATGAAGTTCCCTTCAATTCCTACTTTTTTTTTAATATTTATTTTTAACATCTTTGTATGTGGTGCTGAGGATCGAACCCGGGCCGCACGCATGCCAGGCGAGCGCACTACCGCTTGAGCCACATGCCCAGCCCTCAATTCCTACTTTTTGACTGATTTTTTTTTTATCATGAAAAGATGTTCCCTTTTGTAAAATGCTTTTTTTTTGCATCTAATGAGAGACCATGTGTCTTCCTCTTTGTTTCTGTGTAAACATGTTTTCAATTCTTCTGGAGATAGAGTCCTAGAGATAGAATCAATATCGTCACGTATATGTGTGTGTGTATGTATGTGTGTACCATCCACTGATAGACAGTATTCTAGGGGCAGTTGGGAAGGACAGTCCCCATGTTGTCCAGAAACATATTCTAATCAGGCACAGTGGCACATGCCTGTAATCCCTGTTACTTGGGAGGCTGAGGCAAGAGAATCACAAGTTCTAGGCCAGCCTTAACAACTCAGCAAGATCCTGTCTCAAAATAATAAAATAAAAAGGGCTGGGGATGTAGTTCAGTGGTAAAGTGCCCCTGGATTCAACCCCCAATACTGAGAAAAGGAAGGAGGCAGGGAGGGGACCCATTCTAGCCATGGTGTATTATTTAGTTATCCTCTCACCTACCACATTGGGATCATCGCCTTACCCCTACTTCATTCACTTATTATTCTCCAGGCTGGAGAATAATCTCTGGACAAGTGGAGTTTCTCTCTCTCTGAAGGCTGTGGGAAGATTCTTTGCCTCCTTAAACTTGTGGTGGCCCCAGGTGTGTGGCCACCTCACTCCAGCCTGCCTTTACCTTCCCTCACATGGCCTTCCTCCCTGAGTGTCCTCTACTTTTCTCTGGAATTAGGGGCGCATACTAGACTGGGCTGATCTCATCTGGAGATCCTTAAATGAGTTACATCTTTTTTCACATAAAGTTACATCTACCCCTTTGGTGGGGAAACCATTCAACTCACCTCATTAGGCTTCAAAAAGAATTGGGATTTTCCCCCCTTTCTCCTCTAAGAGTTATAAACTGTCAAAGGGGAAGTGGCTAAATACTGTCGATATACAAAACTCACCTAAGCAGCTCTCTTTCCTTCTTTTTGTATCAGGGATTGAATTCAGGAGTTCTAAACCACTGAGCCCCATCCCCAGCACTACTTTGTATTTTATTTAGACACAGGGTCTGACTGAGTTGCTTAGTGCCTCATTATTGCTGAGGCTGGCTTTGAACTCAGGATCCTCCTGCCTCAGCTTCCCTAACTGCAGGGATTACAGGCATGCATCACCGCACCCAACCCTTATAATTTTGTTTAATAGTTGTCAATAGACTTTATTTATTTATATGTGGTGCTGAGAATTGAACCCAATGCCTCACATATGCTAGGCAAGCACTCTTCCACTGAGCCACAGCCCCAACCCAACCCCCTTTTAATTTGAGACAGCATTTTGCTAAGTTGCTGAGGTTGGCCTTCAACTTGCGATCCTCTTGCCTCAGCTTCCCAAGTCACTGGGATTACAGGCAAGTGCTACAGTGCCTTGCTCCCCCTGTACCCTGCAATTGGATCAAAAAAGTTTAGAGATCACTGACCTAAGAAACTATGCTGGCAAGTGCTCCAACATGCGCTCACCTTCAAGGCAGGTCTTGTTTTTAAGATGGGTCTCATGGGGCTGGGGCTGAGAGGCAGAGCACTCGCCTAGCACGTGTAAGGCCCTGGGTTCAATCCTCAGCACCACCTGTGGGAGACCAACCTTATGGGTGACTGAATTACACTCCCCAGCTGGGTGCTGAGGTGCTCAGTCACAGAAATGGGTATGTCTTGCTACAGCCCATGGGTGAAGCTATGCTCAACTATTCCTTTGTAATATAACCCCTTGCCCGGTTTAGGATAAAATCTTCCATGGAAGTGCCTTGTGTGTGTCTCCTCCTCTTACTGTGCCCTTGGGTGTGGTCTACCCAGGTGTCAGTCAACCTGCTGACAGTGGACATCATGAAGATAGACTCAGCCCCCTGAAACCTGACCCCTTGCCTCGTTTGAATAGCTTCCCTTAATAAAAAGGGTCAGCATGGGCTCTCGCTCTCT